AACGCTGCTGCTGCTATCTGCGCTGGTGCTTCCTATCTTGCTGCTGCTGCTGCTGGTTTCCTCCATTGGGTGTTGTGTGCGTTTGTTAGGTGGTTGCCTCGGTTGGCTGTTGCCTGCAGTCGCTTGCATGGGGCCGCATGCGCCTCACCCCTCTCAACACATGTGCCTTACGACTACTTCCTCAGCCACCCACTCCGCAGCTCCTCAACGCCAAACCAACCTGCCCCCGCCCCCTACCTAGCCCCTCCCCCACACCTCCAGTTAGTTGCTTTGCCCTAACTTGTGGTCTCCTATGGTTTGGTATGGTCTTTGACCACCCCTCCAGTCCCTCCTGCAGCGGCCCCCCAGCCGCCCACCCCCGCCGCTGCCCCTGCTGGCGGACACCCTCGCTCTCCTCACCACACCACCAGCACCACCCCCACCCCCACCACCTGCTTTCTGCTCACCTGCCTCCACCACCACGGAGGGCCCCACCCCTTCTCCTCCCCCTCTCCGCCCCCCTCAGCTAACCGCCCCCCTGGCCGCCCGGCTATGCGACCTGCTGGCGCGGCGGCTGCGGGGGACAGAGGGGGACAGCGGTGGTGGCAGCAAGGAGGGCCGCCGTGTTGTTACCTTTTCCCCTCTCCTCATCATCACTTTACCTTGCTGACAGCCTCTTTCCTGGGGACGAGCCGCTGTATGTGCCCTGCCAGCAAAACACGTGCGCAGTTCCCAACCAAACCAGATACATATTGAAGCACCCTATTGTCGGGCCCCATCCTCAGCTGCACTAACACCTGGTTTGCAGATGAAACCCCCACTTACCCAAGCTCCGCAGGCCTTCGCAGATAAGCAGCCCATGCATACACTCCTGCCCCATGAAGCGCCCCCTTTAAGTGGTACTTGAGCAACGTGTGTAGCATGCACATCCAGAGCCAGTAGTTTCAGCACTTCAACCTTCCCCACACCACCGTACGTGCCCTACCACCACTTATGCAACCATGCCGTCCATCCGGCTGCCTGATTGGCGCAAGGTGGCGTATGTGAGGCATGAGCCCTGCAACCAGAAACCCACCCGCCAAGTTCATGCGAATGGCAGAGCCGACGGCGGCATTGCATTTGCTGGCCGCCTTGAACTCTTTGGTGGTGACACGCCAAATGGAGAGGGTTGACCCGGGGACTGCACCAAACTCCCCCCGTGCTAGCTGCACTATTTAAGCACGTTTTACTTTTAAGTGTGGGCACCATCTTGTCGGGTTACCTCCTAGCCCCTGACAACCGCATGTTGGCCGGGTCCCTGGTGCATGGTTCCTGGGTGGGGACCGGGGCACATTTTACCCCTCACGGACCGCGAACTATTAGAGACCGCCCGTATCCAGCATGGTGGTTATACGTCGCGATGGAAATGCGCTGCGCATGAAACCCTGAGCCCGGGCCCTCAACATGCTCCGAGCATGTTGAGCCCAGATCCCAGATACCTGGTTTCCTTTATAAAGTTCAGCCTAATGTTGCCCCAAATATTGGATAGCACATAGAATGAGTTCACGACGGTAGTCTATGATACAGACTCGGTATCGCATCATGAATTGCCCACTTTCTTATGCGAGCATGTTCAAAGCCCGAAAGCTTCGGTGCTAGGATACATGATCAAAGCTCAAATCCCGGGGGGCACAACCTTATTGCTCAAGGGCTGAGGCCGGTGGAGTGCGGGCATGGCTCGCACTTTGGCGACGACCTTTTCGACGAGAAACAAGAGTTCCAAACCACTCCTGTGTGGAAATTCATATACAATTCGTATACGGACAATAGCATGCAAGCTCTATGGGTTGGCATCGCCGCTAGAGGTACATTCACCGATCTGTGACGCACTTCACCGATCGGTGGACCAGAATGGAAGGAACCAATGCGCCGGTAACCTTAGGGCGTACGCGTACATAGTACTTAAACGGACAAAACGAGTAAACTTCTGTGCGCGTACCCGTACTCCAGCAATTTGGAATAATGCCGTATCCTTGCACCTGCAGCCCTCTGTTTTATACGCACCTAGCCACTTCTTGCTAGGTGGCCCTCCTAGCCGGCCCTACCCTACCTTCTACCCTAACCCCCTATGAAGGCGTTCCTTCTCCACACACGTGTGCCATGTGCGGCACGACCCTGACACTGAGCGTGGGGACCCAATTAAACACCTCGACATGGTCCACTAGCTTCTACGGACTCCTACGGAACCCTGTGCCATAGCTGCCTCCCAACCTGTGCTATGAAGACCGCATGAGGTAACTGATACACCTGTGCCACATAACCTCCCCATCCTCTTACCATTGTACGCCACGTAGCGCCTTCCCCTACAACCCTGGTTTATTTCACCTGAACTCGCCCATCCCTCCTCCTTTTGACTTATCCTCCCTCCTGCACCTCATCTCCCAGTAAATGCAAGGTAATCACCAAGTAGAACACGACCACTAGTGCGCCCGCAGCCAGCCTCAACACCTCCCCTGCTAAGGATTGCGGCCGAGGTGCCACGCCCGCGCCAAAAGCCAGGCACAACCATCACACCAAGGTATCTTCTGCTTGCTGCTGCTGGTGCCGCTAAAGCGAGTGCTGCCGCTGGTGCGGCTGGCTGCCGAGGAGTGGTTGCTGCTCCAGGCAGCAGCGCAGAAACTCCAGGGACAGGCTACGACCAGCGCCGGCGGCCGTGATTCGGCTACGGAGGCAGCGGCCGCCGGCCCCACTACTGATCATCCAAATCATCATCCGGAACATGCTGTTCCGATGGCGGGGCTGCTCCGCTGTTGCAACTTTGACAGCGGCTGGACCTGACTTCCCGGGCATCTCCGATGTCACCCCTTCTATCACTACCTCGCTTGCCGCAGCCGTGCTCCAGAGGAGTATTGCTGCTGCGGTGGCGGTTGATGGCCACGCTGATGCGTGCAAACCTGCCCTTATCGGTGCTCGCAAAAGTGGAAGGCGACCAGGGCCTGAAGGTGTCGTGGCTCACCATGTCCTGGCTGGTTCAGGTGCCCCTGCCCATCCTCACCGAGTGGAAGGAGCAGATGGTGCAGAGGCTCATGGAGCCCCGGTACTACAAGCGGGTAGGTGGGCATCCTATCACCTTAGCCTTTGGTTGGACGCTTCCTGTGAACATGTAAAGGGGAACCTCTTATCGAATCCGATGGGTTTGGTTATGAGCTTGAACAGGCTGACCTGTGGTGGCAAGGGGCCCAACCTGGGTATATATGGGGTTCCATCTGCACTGGCAAGGGGCCCAACCCGGGTATATATGGGTGCCATCTGCAACTGCTGTACGGGTCGTGCAATGCACCATTGCAGTCGTTTTCTGTTGTGCTGCAAATCACCTTATTTGGTCACGAAATCTTCATCCGTGTTGCCCATGCAGGAGGAGAGGTACGGCAGGTCCTCCTGATCCGTTACAGCGAGGAGGTCCTCAATCCCTTTGTCCTGCAGGGCGAGGTCATGTCCAGCGGATCTTCGTCAGCTCCTTTGCGTTATCCTACGCGTCGCGACCGACTTGCAACACCGAGCTGTTCGTGGCCAAGGAGACTCTGGCTGCGCCGGCGGGGATTATGTGGCCCGTCGCCAGGGACGGCGGCGTCTAAGTTAGACATCAAGTTTTTGGGTGCTATAGGCGCTCTTGGAGTGGATTGGTTGCATGATTCTTACTGAAGTGCACGTGGTTTGCCGTCTCTTCCCAATCTGTGTCCTTAGTGCCAATTGGCGCAACTTCAATTTCGTGCTACCCTATCTTGCCTGAAGGCATGCAATTTGCCTTTGCTAACGAGTGACTTCGCCGCATGCATGCTGCCCCAGGCCGGAGGTATCCTGGAGGCGCATACCGGCTGCTTTGCGTGCGGCCGTGTCAAGGATCGCCTTGCGGTTATGGCGGTATACGAGTTCGATTTGAGCGGCACTGTCGGCAACCGCACCACGAGCGAGCTCAGCCGCCTGGGCTTTGTGGCTGAGCTCAAGTTCTCCTGCATGGACAGCATGAAGAACCTCTCGGAAAGGCGGACAGAGCAGGGCGGCAAGCTGTCGATGAGTTGTGCCCTTGGGGATGGTACCGGTACCCTGTAGAGCTTCTCTATGGCTGTCATGCATGTTACGCACCATAGCCTAGCTGTAGCTTATGTTACGACCCATGGGCCTCCGGTGGAGGATACCGACATGTACTAATCACGTGTGGCATCAACTTCACCTAACGATGCTGTCACGAGCCTATGGTGTAATGGTACGCTGACTCTGTACGTCGACTGGTAGCTCGCCAGCTATGTGGTGCTTAGGTATGTGAAGGTGAAGCAGAGGCAGCGCATTGGCGACACAAGCCTTCCTCGTATTAGGTGTATACGCTATTGCCGAGTATGGACGACGGAGCTAGGCGCTTGCGCGCAGCATTGCACTTCCGCGCAGCCTCACACCCGTAAGCGAGGCCCCGAACAGCCTGTGGTTTTGGTAGAGGTCTAAGCAAACAGGTAAACGGCGCGGCTACTAGGTCACGGACATGCCCTGGCCACTGCCGATGCCTTGCATGCCGGCAGGCCGAGCACATCTGGACGCGCCCAACGCGTGCGCTGCACTGCCAATGTATAGATAACAATTTATCCTAATTGGTAACAGCGATTGGCGCGATTTTGGGGGACTTCATCAAAGGTGCTTGATGCGTACAGCGGAGGGCCGCGGACCTCATTGCTAGGTGCCGCCTATGTACCGAAAGTATAGGGATACGTGAATAAGTGCTACTTCTGAAAGTCAAACTTCAATATAACTGTCGAAAAATGTTTCACCAAAATTTTTCAGACGCCCTCGACCTGAGCAAAGCATCGCAATTGACAGGCGCCCAACGTTTTTCCTAATAGACTGTCATATCCCCTGTCTAGTGGTGTTTAGATCTTGACAAGATGCGCTACTCTGTGTTGACAACGTCCTCGCTACAAGCTCGTCCGACTTTGGATCCTGGGAAGGGTCGTCGACCTTCTGTGGGCCTTACGCAACAATCGTCACCTATCTACGCCTTATACCCCTGCTCAGGCCGCCGTTCAGAGCCTATATGCGCCCTCACACCAAATTTCTGACGAAGGTCCAAACGAAGGTCCAACCAAGGAAAACCTCTTTACGCTTCGTAGCCTTCGCGTTGTATACTCGTCCTGTCACAGGGTATGCTTACGGCTTTGTTACGATGCGCGTGGAGTTCAGCCTATGATAGCGCAGACGAATTTTGTAGAATGCAGATACTTCCCGCTAGAGTCCCTGCTGTTGACCTTTAGAATGCACATGCAAATGCAACTCAGCAGTAAATTAACCAGAGGGCAGCAGCTCCGGCATGGAAGGTGTCGATGGCACTTTCTGTTTGTAGTACTAGCTCTCCGTTCAGGTGAACGTACTACCGGGTTGGCAAACATTATGTCAAACGGAGGCTCATAGATACCCGTCAACCTGGGAAAGCTCAGGCGCATGCTTGAGGCTTTCCTTGCTAACAAACTTCACTGTCGGGGTTCGCAGGCTTGTCCGCGAGCCAGCGCCCCCCGCAGCCACCTCGACCTCCACCATCGCCGAAGCCCCCAACCCCGCCACCGTCTCCATTTCCCTCACCACCGCCGGTCCCTTCTCCACCAAGCCCACTTCCTCCCAGCCCGCCACCGCTGCCTCCAAAACCTGTGCCGCCCTCGCCAGAACCCCCATCCCTGCCCACGCCGCCGTCTCCCCCTTCGCCTCCCCCGGTACCTCCTACGTTGCCCCCTGCACCGCCATCACCTCCCACAAGTGAGTCCGCCTTGTAGCAGGGCGTGCCAGCCTCGCTCTTAGATCGTGTGCTAGCCGCCTGCGCTTGTCGGGAATGCGTTTGAACGAGGGGGCCATATTTCTACCGATACATGGGACAGTATCTCGGAGGGTGATCCTGTTCGCGGTCGTAGCTCATAAGGTCGTGGCCTTCCCCAGCATGGAGGCGCTGGGACCGTTAGTCCTGCCAGACGCGCACTGAGGGACGTGCCCGGGCGGCGGGGACTGGGGTGGGGGCTACGGGGCGTGTGCGGCGCTGGATGGGATCGAATGGCCGGAAGGCCTGGTTGCTCACCTCAAGCGATGTTATTCTACGCGCAATCTTTCCCCATGTCCTGGCATGGCTACCTAAGCCCTTAACGTCGAGGCATGCAAATTGTCTGTCTGCGTGCATGTGTCCTGCACATCGCAGATGAAACGACCTATCTGTTCTCCACCCCAGCCGGCGTCTACTACCTATACCGGAACAAGGCCAGCTGGACCACCGCGCTGGAGGTCTGCAGGTGGGGAAGCAGGGAGCGGGTGGAGGGTGGGCGTCAGGATGTTACAAAGCATAGGCCACAGATACATGCAACAATGAACATATTTTGTGCCATGGAGGCGTAAAGTGTGCCTTAGTATCGTGCCAAGAAGTCCCAAGCATACGATTAGGTTCGTCAGGGCCTGGTAGAATTAGGGGTAGAGGCTATACGTGGGCGGACGACCAGGGTGAGAAGCTGTCAGGTGGCTGAGACAGGCTCTGGGACACTCACGAGAAGACATGCTGCTTCTACAGGAAAGCAGGTACGTCACCGTAGTCGGACATTTTAGGGTAGTAAATCCCGTCAGTTGACGGATTCTGTTGTAACCTCTTTTGGCGATCCCACACTTTATGGGGTAACTTAGCCCTTGGCCCGTTCTGTTTCTTAGGCAATCTGAGGTGTGCCGTACAGCACTCCTGCTAAAAAAGAAGCCACCAGCGTCTGGTTCTGGTCTGGACCAAAACACCTCAACGTGCAGTAAGGACGCAGGCTTCTGCATTTAAAAACGTATCAGCACATAGTACGCAGCAGTCGTTGGTGACGATAGGAAGGGAAGGGCACTTGCGCATGCCTTGTGGCATGGGGACCAATAATGGGCTACAGCTTGGGGACTTGCACTACTATGAAGTACACCGGTTGGGGGGTAAGGGGGGCCTCGTGGCTTGCACGGCCTCTCAAGCATAGCGCAGTTGGGGTAGAAAAGGAATCTCACGAACTGTATGGTGAGGCTTCACCATGGGTTGCTAGGGGGGAGGGGGAGGGAGGTGGGGAACACTGAATGGCTTTGGTGATTGGGGAGCCAGAGGATGGTGAGGCACCTGGACGGGTAAGATGAACGCCGCCTCACCGCATTTCTAGCCTTTTACTTCCATAGCTATGAAGCCATGGGGACAAGTATGGTCAAGGAGGCTTGCATAACGAGAGTGGAGTCATCGTTGGCGACATGACTCCTTCAGGTTCTCCTGTTAAGGCGAAACAACCGGGCCGGGGGCGAGGGCGAGGGCGGGGCCGTGCCAGCCGCGGCAATTCACAATGAGCCGTGGCAATTGCTGGTATAGGCTGGTTGTGGCGTCTACACTTGCAGTCGATAAGGTTTGAGGGTGTGACCTTGAAGCACGGTATGACCCGTTCTGTGCAGTAGCTGAACAAATGATAGAAAGAGAGAAAGAACACACTGAGAGGAATCCATTGCTGGCTTCTTTAGCTTTATTTGGCGTACGGCAACACGAAACAATAGCGTTTGAAGTTCTGTAGGGCGGGTGGTTGGGTCCGGGAGGGGTCGCCATCAAATATTCATCATGTAACAAAAAAATGCATCCCCCCCTCCCCTGGGCAGGGTGTCACAAAATAAGTAAAGGATAGCGGACGGCCACCCCGCCCCCTCAGCCGTAAGCTACAGTTCGTTGATCGTTATTATGTGCCGCACACCTAGCACTGCCTTCTGTTTCTTTAGCCCAGTATGGGATTGCTAAGAAGAGGACAGGTACCGGTTAGGGATATGGGTAGCGGATGTGGGGAGGGGGGGCGAAGGCGCTGAGGCTATAGTTCGTTGTTTTTGCACTTTTCGCACCACCTCCTTTTCTTTAGCCCCACTTTTCGTTTTCTGTTGTTTTCGCAGTGTATTGTTTTGCCGCTGCGCCACAATCCCAACACAGCAGCGTCACACAAAAGTGCGGCCCCTCGGTCTTCCAACGCTCTGCAGTTAGTTCGGTCCCTCCGTCTTCCAACGTCCTTCTACGCTGCAGATTAGGGCTTGCTTCCCACAGACGAACAGGTTCTGTTCCCATTGCACCCGCATTTTAGTTGTCAGGCGCCTTGGCGTCGCCAAACGTGTATGCGCTCTGCCGTACAGTCGCGCTCTTCCCACTAACGTGCAGCAGCAAACTTCAGGAATTACAAGCATGTACCTAATACCAGTACGCATACCCGCTGACCACAAACCCTTGCTCGCTGCACCTCCGAAAGCCGTGTTTTCTCACCCTCGCCGTCCCTGTTCCCTTCTCACCCCCTCTGGCCCCAGGGCTCGCGACATGACGCTCGCCTCCTGGCCAGACAACCAGGAGCTTTACAACATCTTCGCGGGCGCCTGGGAGTACACCTACGCGCCGGAGTTCTGGGTGGGGGTGCTGCGCCGGGCCAACAAGACAGAGTACGAGTTCGCGGATGGCGGCGCCGTGCCCGCCATTGATGGACTACCGATTGAGGAGTACATTGAGGTGGTCGACCCCACCTGTGTGACGGACGTGCGGGGGTGCTGTGCCTCGCTCACGGACCGAGCGGTGGGGAGGTTCGTGGGGCCGTACCAAACGCCCCGTGGTCCGCGGCTGCTGGTGCGGAACTGCCTCAGCACGTGAGAAGGACTGGGGGTAGGGAGTGGGCCAGGGCCACGGCAAATGGGGAAGAGAGGACGGAGGCGTGGGGTTGCTGTCACGCCTGCTGGCCAGCATGGCGCCCTGGGTGTGACGTGCGCACTCCCTTTCCTCCCTCTTGGCAGTTTCGGATTCCCGCCTCCCCCTGACCTCCTCCCCTTCCTCGTGCATCCCCTTGACACAGTCTGCTCTACCTGTGCGAGGCCTCGCTGCCGCCCAGTCCCTCACCCCCCTCGCCGCCCTACACTCCGCTGGCCGCCAACCTGCAGCTGCGCTTCCAGCTCGACTACCTCAGCCTGACCACCACAGCAGGCCGGTTGGCGGCGTTCAGGCTGCGGGTTGCGGAGCTGCTGCGCAAGGAGTATGCGGCCAATCCAACGGATGTGAGGCGGGAACAGGCGGGGGTGAAAGGAGGGTCGGGGAGCGCTCTAGGGTGCAGCGGGTGCCGTAGATGAGGTATGGCATGGGCAGGTGAGGAGAGAGGAGCTGCCGTTCTTATGAGCACCCCACCCTTACATGGTCGCTAGTACGACCCTCCTGGAATCCCCATGGACAGTATCTTATTCCCTCCCCGGTGTCTACCCCTCTTCTCCACTCAATAGTCCGCCGCCGCTTCCCGCTTATCCAAGACCCGATCATACCCTGCCTTCTGAAACCTCTTGGCTGCCAACGCCGCGTCTCTCCTTCCCTCTGTCCACCTCCCCCTCTGCCTCCTTCCCTCCACACCTCCGCCCTGCCTGGCCCCACCAGGTCAACGTGTACGAGGCCTACCAGGACACGGACGGTTCCACGGTGCTGCGCCTGCTGCTCTCGCTGCCGGCTGCCGTGGACGCCAACTCGGCCGCCTCCTACCTCTTCCGCCTCACCACCTCGCCCTCACTCGTCTTCGACAACACCTTCCGTGCACAGTATCTGGTCGGCACGCCCATCTACGCCACGCTGCTTGGGGTGGTGCCGCGCAACGCGCCGCCCCCTGCTGGCGCGCTGCAGCAGAGCAGCGGCGACCGCAGCGACGGCGCGCCGGACCGCAGCCGTGTGGGTCTGCTGGCAGGGCTGGTGGGCGGAGGCGGACTGGCACTGCTGATGGGAGGTGTGGTCGGCTACCTGGCGCTAGCGAGGAGGCGGGCGGCGCTGCGGGCAGTGCAGGAGGTGCACTGAGAGGGAGGGGTAAAGCGGGAGAGTAATAGCGGGATAAGATTCCTCCGGAGAGGGAGGGGTGGTTGAATGGGAGGCCCGATCATTGACGGTTGCGAATTGGCGATGTGTACATCATTACCAAGATTCGCCAAGAAACGCGTCTTGGTGGGGACGGGCGTGGAGTTCGGGGAGGCGGTCGCCAATGTTGGAACCGGTTAGCGCTGAAGCGTGGAGGGATGTGCAGTCGGGTTGGATGGGGATGGGCAGGAAACCAGAAGGGTGTAGGGGGTTGGCGAGGAGGCGGAGGAAGGGTTCGTCTTCCGGAACGCTCTGCCAGGGCGCTGCAAGCGCTGCCGCCCTAGTCGTACCATTGCTTGCCCTTTGTAACTGTCACTAGGACATCGTCGCGTATGATCCTTATTAAGTGCGTGCTGGAGCAGGCTGGAACACTACTTTACCCGGGCGAGCATCTTCAGCGGAGTACCAGATGGCCTCATGCGGCATTGTAGAGACTTGCCCCTTCGCCCCAAGCAACACACACACGCATGCATGCACCTCCGCTTTCCTCGCCCCATGCAACCCACGCACGCATGCATGCACCCCCGGTTCACTCGCCCCTCACCCCTTGCAACCCACACATTGTCAGCTACTACATACATATCAACTTACTACTACGGGCCTTAGGTCCGGTCGTTGGCTCGCCCCGATTAGGGGCGTAGTCTTAGCGTTCACTCAAAATAGTCCGGGCCGAGGCGTTATGTCCTTTTTGTACCGTGCACGTGTCCTATGTTTTGTCCTTGTACATTATGTATGTACCTGCACCGAGGTCACAGATTTGGTCGGACAAGGCGGCGTTGTATTTGTCCTTCTGTGTTTAGTATCATGTCATGTCGAAAAAAGAGAGAGTCCCATAGTTCAGAGGACGACCCACATGTTGTACGGCGAAAACAAAATGCTGTTGGAAAGTATGCCTCGGCGATTCGTAATCTCCATAGCAATGTCATTAGCCCTGTTTCCATGGGCGCAGGTTTGGTTTCGGACAGTTCCTACGTGTTTCCATGAGGACTGTCGTACGAAATTTTCACGCAGGAACTCCCTATTTTCCTACGGCGCCTCCCCCCTCGTAGGAAAATAGGAAGCCATAGGAGGGCGTTAGCTGCCGTAAAAGTGGAGCGAGTGGAGCGCAGCCGGAGCGGAGCATCGCCTTTGGTTAAGGGGCTATTAGCCCTGTTTCCATGGGCGCAGGTTTGGTTTCGGACAGTTCCTACGTGTTTCCATGAGGACTGTCGTACGAAATTTTCACGCAGTAAGTCCCTATTTTCCTACGGCGCCTCCCCCCTCGTAGGAAAATAGGAAGCCATAGGACGGCGTTAGCTGCCGTAAAAGTGGAGCGAGTGGAGCGCAGCCGGAGCGGAGCATCGCCTTTGGTTAAAGCCTCTAGCCTTTACTTGTTGCTCTTTTTGCCTTGCTTTACTTGTCGCGCGTATTGCCTTCACGGCCCTCATTCATGACTTCTAGAGCGGTTGGAATATGAGCGTATGGCGTGGCAAGGAAATTCAAAGCGAGCATCGATCTGAACCCTGCGTGGCCTGAGCACTTATGTCCGAATGCTCGATTACTGCAAACTGAGCATTTCTATGCATATTAAAGGCCTACGGTTTGAAACATAAAGCAAAGCAATAGCTAGTGTGGCGCCCCACAAGGGCAAGATGTGGCCTTAATGTGTTGGGCTCGCACGGCGCTTGGTCCCTGTTCTCTGTCCGGACCGCCGTACGGCTTGGCGCCAGGCAGGCCAACAGAGAACTAGATCACGAACGAGTTCGTGACGGAGGCGTGCCCTCAAGGTCCTGCTTCATTTTTTTTAGTTCAGAGAGTGCAGAGTTGAGTGCAAGCGTACGACCCCTTTTCGACCCCGCCCTCCCATGTTGCGCGTTATTGACGGCCCCGGGACTCCCAGGAACCCCTTCCAATACGGCACCCGGAACCGGTATCCCGAATGGCGCAAACCGCGCTGAAAAATCGATTGCAATCAATAGCGGAAATGTAATTCTTTCAGACATGGCAATCGCGCTGCAATGCTAAGCGGCCAAGACTTTGACAGTTAATGGCGCTGCCCATGTCAGAGAAAGAAAGAGCGCGCAGTCTTTCCTGTTACACCAAGGGCATAGTTATACTAAGATAACATTCCCAATTGTAAAAGCGTGCTAGCTTTGCGGCTTGTAAAGCCGGGACCCCATTAGGGGTGTTTCTATGGGCTTAGGTTTGGTTTCGGACCGAACCTAAGCCAACCTAAGGGAATCTCGTCCCATGCTCGTCCCACCAATACTTAGCAAAGTTGCTGCTAAGTTGCTAAGTGGGGTGACCCCGCTTAGCAACTTAGCAGCAACTTAGCACTTGCTTAGGCTGGAGCGAGTGGAGCGAGTGGAGCCAGCGGGCCCTACTCATTGAGCCTGCAGACCTTCGCATACAGACAAACAGCCATGGATACTAAGCAAGATGGCAAGGTTGTATAGTCGGTATTTTTCGGACGTTGTTTTTGATGTTAAAATGCCAAGAAAGCAAAATCAACTCCTGAACAACTCCTCGATTGTCAACTTGAAAATGCGTGAAGAATCCTTCATTCCTTTCATAGAGGCTACATTTATCCGAAAGCAAGCACCGTACCTCCCTTCAGTTGCCAAATGTATGGCACACTTGCGTGTCTTGTTACGGGTGCCTTATCTCACGGAGAGGAATCTCCAATTAGCCAGCTCCACTATCACCCCTTGTAACAGAGCCGGTCAAGGGTCATCTAACCTATGGTTATCTTCCACTACACCCCTAGCGTGGTCCTCACAAGCGATATGTGCCTTGCGCTTTCTTAAATTGTAAGGTCCCACGGGCCCCTGACAGCGGCAGCTTTGCCCACTGGCAACCCAGGCCCTTGCAGTGGTCATCCATTCTCTGCGAAAGGATCTTATGGCAGAACCTAGGCTTTCCCGTCCATGTGCTTCCTAGTTCCTACATGCATCCCCACATGGTTGTCACGCAACATCTCCTGTTGTCCCCGTTCACGTGCTATGGGTTGTTCTGTTGCCCGAGGTAATGTAAATTGTACCCTTTCCTAACCATCAGGGCCGCAAACGGAAATCCTCCGCTGCATCATCTTCTCGCGAGCGCCCCTTTTCTTCCAAACGTGTTCGCTTAATAAACAGTGATTATCCTATCCTGTAAGGATAAATGATTATGGTGTTAACATAAGGCTGGTTTCACCGTGGTTCCTGAAGTCCATAGAAACAGGTCACTTAGGAACACTTAGGAGCGCGTAGCGTACGACTTAGGTTGGCTTAGGTTGGCCTAGGTTTGGTTTCGGACCGCGCCCATAGAAACACCCCTATTGACCCCGATACTCGTCCAAGCATCGGGGTCCCGTGCCGTACGTATCGGGGTCCCGGGGGGTCCCGGTAGCGATCATAACGTATCTCACACAAATTGGGGCAATTCCCTAGTAGTACATTGCGTAATTGTGCGCGGCAGCTTGTCACTGGCAGTGTAACCTCGGAAAGTTGATGTACGAGTATTGTTTTCTGTAACAAAGCCAAGTCGCATTTTCTTGGGACGAGCGTCACTAGTGATGATGCCCATGAACTTGAGTGGCCGTCCGCATTGGTGAAGATGGTTGTGTTGATGGCCCTCTGTTGCTGCGGAATTTCAGGAGTTGCATTGGTGCTTTTTTGTGTAAGTTTTGTTGGTCCCTGTTGTACTTGTCCTGCTTTTGCCAGACCCTAAGAGTCGTAGTGCTTCCTATTGTGACCTGTTCTCGGTTGTTGAAAAAGCGGCAGGTTGCACTTGTCGCACGGCCTTCATAACACGCTACTCCCTGCACCCACGATCATAGCTTTCGACATTATCGATGCCGCTTGTTTGTTGACTTGCAATGTCTGTGGCGAAGCTTCCTTTCCAGTAGCCTCGATCGTTTTTAATGCTTGCTTAAAGCCTGCTGATCTTCAGTACACCACCGGCAGCGTTTTTTGGGTGGTGGCGGACCAGACATCTACACTTCGTTAACAGCTGCTTCATTGGAGCCGCTACCAAGCCTTAATACTGTACCAATATTGGTATTGTAAATAAAGGTCCCTAGTTGCTTCTTGGTAACATTGGCAAATCGAGTGTCCTTGCTCAAGCTTTTTGCTAGGCGCTTGACAAGGTGCTTGACAGTAAGTTTCCATTCTCTACAGCTATACGTTCTGCAGCTTGTTGCAGCGCAAGCAGTTGGTCATCAGTCCAGCGGCGTTTGCCCATGCTGCTTCATAGCAACACATTAACAACATAAGTATTCTAACGGTACTGTGAAGGCTTCCTTGTGTATAACTACAACGACTATCCGTGATCAACAAGGGATGCCAAACAGCAACTGTAAAGCACGTGTACGACAGCCCCTTTCCGAACAGCAACGTTGCACCTAAACAACAGACAACAGGAAAACACGTAACGTAGTTGTTTGAATGAATGATCGTTACAATGGTTACAATAGTTGTTTTGAACATTCACTGATCCAAACCATAATACCAACCTCATTTCCATTACCCATAACAATGTTGTCTGCGCGTGATAACAACTGTTCTTCTAGGTTCCGTGGCTTACACATAGCAATAGTTTGGAAACATTGTCAATGTTATGGCTTCGTGCGCGATGTTGCCTAAGTAGGAAATTTTGTAAGGACCTTAAGTCCCGGTATTCCCTATGGCTTTTCCCTTGCTTCCACGGCGCGGCCTATCGGAGCGCCTAGAACCAAGGGCAGGCCAAAAAAGACGACAACAACGCCAACCAGGCCTCGCCTCTGATGCGTCACATAAGATAGCCAAGGAATTCGCATGTAACACGGCCCTCGCGCACACGTCGCTACAGCTAGATATCAAACTAACACACGCAGCACGGGAGGGCGGGGTCCGGAAGGGGTCGTACGCATGCTCACATAAAGTAGCCAACTAGGCACTCTCCGAACTAAAAAGCATAGAAACATGGCCTTGTGGGCACGCCTCCGTCACGAACACGTTCGTGAACTAGTTCAACATCCGAGAACAGCAGGTCACACTAGGAAGCTCGTACGACAGGGGCCAACACAACCTTCGCAAAAAGGCACCAACACAACTCCTGGAAAAACATAGCAACAAAGGGCCATGAACACAACCACCTTCGCCAACAAAGGGCCATGAACACAACCACCTTCGCCAACGCGGACGGCCTCTCGAGTTTATGGGCATCATCACTTGTGTCGCTTGTCACTACAAAATGCGATTTGACCTTGTT